AGTTCGGGTAGAGTATATTTCTGATGACAGTGGAGATGATGATGAGCATTATGTGGATGAAAAGGGGAGTCCAATTCATTTTGATGAGGAAAAAGAGGAAGCACATCGACAAGAGTACAGAATCAAACCAAGGCCTCCAGCTACCCCAATTGATTCTTTAAAACAACCTAGTAAGTTAAGAAGATACTCCCTGGAAAGGCACAAAATACCATCTAGAGAGGAACCCATCATTGATGCTTCAAATGCAGGCATTTTGAGTATAGAGAAGGTACCAAATGCAGATCCAGCAAGTTGGAATGAATTAAAAGACACAGAGGAAACACTTATTGCAGATAATGATGCTGGCACTGGACACATTAATGGCTTGATTCCAAATCTAATGAAACATGAAAATAATAGATATGCCAGTGCATCATCCAAGGAACATGTTGAAACTGAAAGCAAATTTGTTGATGCTAATATATATGCAAAAATCCAGCACAGAGCTCAACAGAAAATAAAAAGTAGAGAAGCTTCAGCAGGCAGACAGTTGAAAAAGGAATATGTGAGACCACACCAGCCTTCAAGATATCATTCTTCAAGGACATCAACGGGTACGAAAGAGAAAGAAAGAATTGGAAGAAATGGTTCTACTAATTCGGGGTCTAAAGGTACATCAATTGAGATACCTAATGCTGTGCAGCAACATTCCCCATCTAACGATAAGGTTAGGTCAAAAAATATTCCTTTATCAATTGATAAATCTAGAAACATACATGAAAATGATGAGGAAAATAACAATAGGATCAAAGCTCATTTAATACACGAAACAGAAAGGACTGGTAAAAAAGAGAACTTGCAATCAGTAGATCATGACTCACATCACCAGCCACTCTATCCAAATCAGAATGACCACTTTGGAGGACAAACCTCCCACATTCTGCCTTCTGCTCCTCCATTTGCGGAACCAGGCTATCAGCAAGATTTGAAATCTCAGCTAGACTATCAAGAGGATGGCAATGATAAGCAGCATGCTCTTTTGTATGGACGATCTAATCAGAGTTCCCAGTACCATGTACATCCGATACAACCAGCATACCAACCAGTACCTGTCCAGCAACAGCATTTTCTATACACTCAAGGAGCTGCATCACATCAGGGACAACAAGGACAACAGCATGCTCAGCACTATCAAAACTCTGCTCCATATCAGGCACCACCTCAACATAATCAGGGAAGCAGTACCTCTCAATTTGGTAATCAAATGGAACCTATGCATTACCATAATGAAAACCACATATACCAGTCTAACCACCAGAATAGGATTCCTTTACAACATTATAATCAACATGAAGCACCATACCACAACTTTAACCCAGTGAAGCAACATACTTACCAGGCTAGAATAGATAATCAAATACCAATTCAAAGACCAGCTAATGTTAACTATCCAGGAAACCAGTTGAACTTTGACTTAGACCAAAATCAACATTGGCAAGTGAGACAGCGAGGCCAAGCTTTTCACTTGCACAACCAGGACACCTATGCAGCAGGTCCATATGATGCACTTGCTGTATCTAATACACAAACACAGCAGTTTTACCAAGACAACCCTGACAGTATGTATCAGCAGGAACAACCTCAACAACACCAATTTCAGTCACAGCTGGTAAGCCAACCACATATCCAGCCTGCTCATCAAAGTTGGCAAGGTTCTTCTCATTCTCAGCCGCCACCATTATATGGAATGCAGAGTAACCAGCAAACTTTAATCCCACATTATCAAATGCAAGAGAATCAACAACAACAGCTAAATGAAGCTTATGAGGAGATCCCACCTCTTGATTTGAGTGGTCTTGTTGAAGATCATTCACAATCAACACATCATATGTCAAAACAAACTAATCCTACCAGAAAAACAAATGTTGATAAATCCAAAATTAATTTCATTGAACAAAACAAGGCTAAGTTGAGAGGAGAATTGCCCCAGACAAGTTATCTAAGTAGATACAAGAAAGACATCAATCCGAGAAAGCCTCTTCCAGGAATTTCAAGGGAGAATTCAGAGGAAAGAAATGAGAAATGGCCACAAATTGAACTTGAAAATAATTATGAGGGTACATGGATCACAGATCCAGGGGTAGACAGAAGGCGCTTTATGGAACTCCCACGACAACAGTCAGATACTGGTGTACGTTACTCAA